CACAGATTTCGGCTTTGGAAATGAAGAGAAACATTAGGCGGCTGGAACCAAACATATATACAATTGGCTGAAAATTATACACAGGAAAGTGGGTGGCCGGAAGTTTTTCTTTATATACATACATACACATAGCCGACAGGCAGAGAATTGAAGAAAGTGGGCAGCTTCTAGAAAATATACACACGACAATTCCAAGTTTCGTCAAATTTTGGTGATGTCGTTCCTCTTTTTCATATTTTATTTATTTTTAGGGTGAACAATGTAGCCGAATTGGGTTCCTTTATTTCGTTAATTTGAGATTCTTGTGCTTTTATTTTATGTGTTGATTTTGCTATGCTCTCAATGCATTTAATTACTTGATCACTAATTAAATGATTTCGTGAACAATAATTACGTAGAGATACGGATTGTTGTTTAGACCAAATAGTAAATTCGGTAAATTGGCATAACGTGTAGAGATACCTATGTTAAATACTACGGTCATAATTGAATTCTTAGAACCAATGTTTCGTTTGATTAAGGATAATTCACATAGATATATGGAATTGAATTAGTTAAATAGGTTCAATGAGAACTCGAGAGGGGTAAATTGAATATAATAGAAAAAATTGATCGAACACTACATTAGGTTATGAATCTTGATTTAAGGAATAAATGTGATCAATGGGTGAAATTGTTCCGCCCTAAGAACCGTCATTATTTGAATTTCGATAAATTGTGTTTGTTTTCAATTGAATTTAATTTCACGTGTTTAAATTAAATAGTCTCAACAAATTCATTTTTTTTTTGTTCGTCTTTTATCAAATAGGAGTTAAAAAAATAAATTAAGGCTAAAGTATAGTTCTCGTGGGAACGATAATCCGGACTCGAAGATCTACTTTACTACTTGTTACGATATCGTACACTTGCGATAGAAAAAACGCAACAGTTAGCAACTAACTCCTCATGTCACTGATGAGCTAATGCCCTGTTGAAATGTGTAATGGAACCTCTCAACGAGGTCGTTCCGTTAACATATTTCTCCTCTAGTGCTTCAGATTGTTTAATGATATTCTCCAACTTGTGATACTGCTCATTATGCATCATGGTATTGATCTTTTCATAAAACTTGTTTAATAAGTGCCACAAACAATACCGATGCAATGTGAATGGCTTTATAGCTTTCGAAATTGCATCATCTTGATCAATTATAATCAGTCTCCGACGTGGTTGGTTTGGCATTGCTTCAAGGAACTTCGAAAACAACCAAACAAATGATTTAGTGGTCTCGTCACTCAATAATCCACATGTAAAAATAATGGTGTGTCTAGGGTGGTTTACTCCAACGAATAGGGCTTAAATCATCGAGTACTTACTCGTGCTGTAGGTTGTATCGAACAACACGACATCGCCTAAAAGGCATATGATTTTCTTGACTCCGAATCAGCCCAGAAATACAAAACCATCTTGTTGTCCAAGTCAGTCTCGAAATAAAAAAAAGGTTCGAGCTTTTTTCTTTCTCAAATGTGAAATGCTCAATTAGTGTTTCTACATCGTGACCACTTTGTTCTACTCGTATATTCTTTTCAGGGTTTCTGATATCTCTCTCTATGCAGCCAATCAATGATGGATCAACCGAGTCTATCTCCATGAGTTGCAATTGTTGATATGAGGTATATTAGCTTTTGAAAATTGTTGCGTAAGTGCCTCCTTTGTGGTCGACACATTCCAGTGTGATCTTAACAAATGTAATCTACTAGAAGTAGTAATAAGACCATGGTTATGTTTCTCCACAAATTTGTTTACGACCCAAAATTGTCCTGTTTATTGTCTCATACAGATAATCTAGCATTGAATTTGACTTGTGAATGTCCACTTTCAATTTCTTCTAATATATGTCATCTGTTTTCCTTCCTTAAAGCAAACAAATAGTTTCCAGTAAGTTTCACTCGTTTCCTTGTTCTTGTTACTATTGACTATTCATGTACTAAATCCCGCTTCATGTGAATATTGATTTAAAAACTGTACGCCTCCTCGTGCGATTCAAATTCTTGCACATTTTGGGAATCTGATTGATTAAAATTTGTGGAACAAACATATCATTAGCACTTTGTGATTCGACCCTATAAAAATTTTATTAGAAAAAAGATATAACAAATCAAGAAATAAAACAACAATTGGGACTACAAATCAATAAATTATATACCAATAAGGGTAACAAATCAATAAATTATACACCAATTACAGCAGCGAAATTAGGACACTACCGGAAAATTAAAAACACCCACGTCGAAAAACACAATTCGGATAACATGTTCACACACTAATCGCGTTTGGCTTTTACTTATTAATTTAACAATACTTGGCTTTCAAATCTAGTTTTTTTTTTCTTTTTTAAAAGCCCCCGTTGCCATGGTAGTGATTGACTTTATATTTTCTGTCCACTTTGGGTAGGAGATTAATCTCGTTAATACTTATTCATGTTAGATTTATATTGATCACAATATTCATCACGATTCTCATTTGTTTTGCATTAGTTACATTGATAGTATTTGTTGAATGAACTTGAATCTTTATAAATTAAGATCATACTATGTTTAAAATATTCATGACGATTCTCACTTACTCACTATCTTTTGTTAGTTATTGAACTTATACCTTTGTCACACTTTACTCAGTATACTTACTAAACTTTACTTATTGAATCTAATTGTTCAAAAATTTAAAATTTTGAAGTATAAAATAGCATACACAAAGACGACACCTTTTTTTCTTCTTGAATTACCTTGTGACGATTCTAAAAATTATATTTTGTAAGTCTAGATTCATATTATTGACTCTAAATAAAAATTTTCACATCCTATATATAATTTTTTTTTTATTTGGGTCTACGATTTAAATAGAAATAAAGAAATAATTTCTCTATTTTAGTTTCTCAAAGTAAAGGAAGGTTATGATCTAAATTAAAATTTATGTCAATTTGAAGTTAGCATTCTTCTTGTCCTTGAACAAAATTTTTGACATGTAGAAAAATTTTATCTTCTTGACCAATATCAATATTCTCTTCTTAGATTGAAAGTTTCATTTTCTTAATTTATGTCGAATTTTATAGAAAATCAACTTTATTTGAAAATATTATAAAGTTCAATGATCATTCAATTTAATTTTTAGTGAGCAAATTTAATTATTAATGAAATAGGATGAGTAAGTAATGGAGTGTTCAAAAGTATCAAATTCAGTGACTTATAAGCGCCGGAACATTGTTTGCTACAGTAAAATTCTCCACCACACATTCATTCAATAAAATATTTTACACATAAATTAATGAAGTTACTTTAAATTTCAACCACACATTCTTCAAAAAATACTATTCATTACACCATTTTCAACTCAATAATGATAGACAAACATGCTCTTAGTGAGTGATGTAGTACAACTTCATACACCAACGAAATATTCAACGAGTTAATTAAATCACTGGTCATCAACATTTGCATTTGGTTACTACTTACTCACCCTGAAATAAAAGGTTACCCACTGCTCATCCACATTTAAAAAAAATTACCCATCCATCACTCCTTCAATTTCCATCCATCCAACTAGGCAAAAATGTCCACGTGGCAGATGAAAATCCTAGGTGGCACTCACTCCTTTAAAAATTGCCACGTTGGAAAATCCTGTATTGAAAAANTTCATACACCAACGAAATATTCAACTCACTAAACATTGTCGAAGCCCCTAAATCAGTACACCAATTCACTACTCTCTCTCTCTCCCTTCATTTTTTCTCTCACACACCACAGACGAAGCATGGAAGAAGAATGCTTGGACAAATCAAAACGCAGTAAAATCGAACGAACAGTGTTAGAAATCCTCAATTATTCCGACATGGAAACAACCTCGGAGTACAGCATACGCGCTGCCGTGGCGGAGCGGCTCGGCTTTGCCCTCTCCGACCTGACCGACAAGAAACTCGTCAGAGAACTCGTCGATTCATTCCTTCTCTCCACTGCTACGGAAATAATTAATTCGTCGCCACAAGATCAGAATAAAGACAACAATGAGCAGAGTAAGGAAGAAAACGTTACCGAAGAAATTGTGGAGCAGATGGAGCAGAAGAGGTCTCAAGAGCAGCAATTGAATAGCCGAGGGTTTGAATTGCATGAGAAAATTGAGAGGGTCATTTGTAAGGTTTGTTGAAAACTTTGAAATAGATATTATCGGAATGCATGATAGATAATTTGATTCTTTTATAAAAACAAGATTTTGTTCTTAAGATTGATATTTCATTTTGAAGGAGCTTAATCAAGTTGCTTTTTGTTCTTTTTTGAGGAACTGAAGGGGCCTCAAGAGCAGCAATTGAATAGCGGAGGGGTTGAATTGCATGAGAAAAATAATGAGATGCTCATTTGTAAAATTAGTTGAAACTGAAGTTATCCAAATGCATGATAGATAAAAACCTACTGGAAAATTAACTGAAATTCGATATCTTCTTGTTATTTAAACTAACAGGTGAAGAAAGATGGATTTCTTGTTAACTGATGTTCTTGTTTGCAGATTTCTTGCTATATTTTTTTACTTTCTGCATTTCCAGTTGTAAGCATTAATCGGTACTTTTCAGTTGGTTTTAGACTTTAGTTGCAGGTTGATAAAATAGTGGAATGATGAAAGGAACTTTGATTAAGTTTGATTTCTATAATATTCTCAATTACCAAGAAAATTAATATATGCCTGTTTATGGATACAAATCAATTTTTAACATTGTGTGAAATATTTATGATGGATTATCAGAATAAGACCATTTTATGTACTCTTTAAACAGTACTTTTAAATGATTTTGTAAAGATCTTTTTCTCTCTTAAGAGAATAGTTGCTAGAGTATGTGCTCAATAATGTTGGTTCAAAGTTCATGGCACGTAAAGGAAGATATCTTGGTGCCCTCTATTTAAAGCCTATGTCTTTAAAGTTTTTATTTCCTTTCTTTAGTTCTCTCTTTGTGGAGTCTATGTTTTTAAGCATTTCTGTTGTTTGTTTGTATCGTAGCTATCAAACAAGAAGAGAGTTGCAGTCCACGAGTTTAAAGGGACAAAGGTGGTATCAATTCGAGATTTCTATGAAAAAGATGGAAAGCTGTTTCCTAATCGAGGTGATAAATTTTATTGTTTGCTAATCAAATTCTGCTGTCAGATAGACATGTGGATTGGCTGAAGTTCTAGTTAATATAGAAATTATCAACCTTTAGATTACAGTTAAGAATGATTTGTTGAATTTGTGAAAATTTTACGCAGAAATCTGTGATTTCAGAACTTTACAACTATCATACTGCTTTCACCTTCGCTCAGGATTAATAATTATCTTACCTACCCTATGACCATATATTAATTGGGAAAAACATGGGATTCTTCTGGAACGAAGGTTAAGGTTGCAGAGTTTTCCTTGCATAGAACATTTGTGGGGTTGCATTTGAGGGCTTTATTAGCTTGTTGATCCAACCCACAGGTAAAATGAGGGTTGTTTACTTGGTGGAGTCAGAACTATATTAAGGAAGAAATTATTGATTTTTCTTAATAACATGAACACGACTTGCAAACTTTTAAAATTGTATAAGAATGTCCAAAAAAGAAAGTCGTATTTAGGTCTTGGGAGTTGATAATTACTTCCACATTGGAGAGGGCAAGACCTAGTTTATGGTCAGTCCTCAGGAATATCCAAGAGACTAGAATTATATTTCTTTTTGCAGATTTTATTCGCAGGCAGGGAACCTTTTACCTTTTCCCGCTGTATATATTTATAATAATAGCCAACCCCAAATAAATTTGGAGATAAGGCTTTTCGAGTGTGCATAAATATGTTAGAATTTCCAGCAAGTTTGATATTTCTTTCAAGGGAGCTGAATCATTCATGCATGCATAATATCTAAGAAGTGATCTGCACATAACGTGTTTTATCCTATTTATTATGCATAATTGCGTAGTGTGCTCATGGCAAGGACTTCAACATTATGTTTTCTTGAGCTGAAATTTTAAATTCGATACTCCCCAACACACCTCTATCCCCTCCATTTCAAAAACAAAAAAAGAGTGAAAAAAAGAATTGTGTTGCTGCTCCTATATATTACCCTCCATGATGTCTCAGGAATGTTACTTGAATTCAAAAATCTCGCTCTACAATTTAATGACCTAAGATTTTAGTATGATGGCGGGATGTTTGAGAAAGTTTTGATGTACTTCCAAAACAGTTTTGTTTGCTTTATTGTGTATTGCATGCGAAATTTTGCATCAGTTTCTCTGACTAAAAGGAGTTTCATTAAATGTTTTTTATATAATTCTTGAAAGTTTATTTGTTCATTTCGTATTCACGCGCACTATATACATACACGAAGTTTGTGTTTCTGTATTGATTTAAAATAATTTGAAAGTTGTCATGGTACGAACTCAGTTAATTCGATAATACAACACACACACACACACACAAAAAAAAAACATACATAGAAGATCATACATTTTGTTTCAGTGGGCCTTGTCTAACATAAACTCAGTCGAGACACGTGTCCATTACCTTGCATGCTATACTACCTTTGGAACTTTTTTCCCACTCGGTTCCTTTTATATAGGCTACAATATCCGAATCAGGTTATACTGCATTGCTTCGCAAATATTAAGGGTATCTTACCACAAGAGCCAGCCCTATGACACACAGATATTTCTTTATAGCTTTTAGTAGTTTCCGCTGATATGAGTGATGTCATCTATAAATTGAATTATTTGTAAAAATATTATTCACAAAATCAGGTGCCCTATTTATACGGCATTATGTATGTCCATGAGCATAAGTTAAAAATGATAATAGGGTTGGTGCGAATAGGTGAAAATCATGCCTTTTTGGCACTAATCATGTTAACATTATTACCTCCTGGCATGCAAAAATATTCATGTTAAATATTATCATAATTGAAAACTGAAAGGATGCAGTTTAGTTTGATTTAATGGGAGCTATGGCAGGGTCAGTGGTGCAAGTGATGCGCCCCATTGTGAACCACCACTGCATGAAAGGCTTGCATTTATGTTTAGGCTTCTTCCTTTCATATTCTTGTCATAATTGTCAAACTGAGGTGTTTTATTGATATCGATGATGCTCCACTTGCTATGAACTCAGGAATCAGCTTAACTTCTAAACAATGGTCGACCTTCAGGAACAGCTTCCCTTCTATTGAGCAAGCCATTCAAAAGATGGAATCTCGGATAAGGTTAGTCTTCCTATGGTTCGGAGCTTGACAAGTTCTTTTGTCTGGTTGATATTGCAAAGGGTGCAACAACTTGGGTTTAAGTCTTAAATGTGGGCATCTATAAGAACGTTGCAATAACTAGATCTTCAAATTTAAGGACGTGTAGATGATGACAATTATTCAATTTATTATCGTTCTTGCATTACTAAATGGAATTTAGCCCTTGTTTGACAACCATTATTTCAAAACTCTTTAATTCTCATATTCATTTTCAACCACACATTGACATAATAAAATATTTTACACGTAAAATCAAAACATTTCCCTACTTTTTAATTACACATTCTCCAAAAAAAAATCACTATTCAGAACTCTATTTTACCCCCCCCCCCCCCCCCCCTCTTCAGAGAAGCTTAACTGCACTGGGTTCTCCAGGAACAACTTAAGCCCTGTTTGTTTGGCAGAAAGGCCGGGAACCAAAAAGGCTATTCCAGCCTTTTCTTTCCGTAAGAGTTCCATGCTTTGTTTGGTAAGGTTAAATCTAACTGCCAATACCTTTAAGGAATGTCCTTTCCCTTTTCTTGGCCAGAGCTTTAAGAAAGCCTATTACTACCCCTAAAACATATCTGAAACACTAGAACCAACCCTGACCCACTATATCACCTTCTATATAATACTCCAACACCAATGCGTAGCTACCACCTTCCCTTATCCTCTCTCATATATGCATTGTGTTACCACCTATCTTCTCTAACTCAACTCCTCGCCACCTTCTGCCACCACCAATGGCCACCAATAATCTCATACAAAAATAATGATGATAGCACAAAAGTGTTTCTGCGTACTATTAACATGCACTATTGCAGGGAAAGCTTATTAAGTTGCTGTCAACTACTATTTCTTTTACTCTTTGAAGCTGGAAGCTTCAACAAAGACAATTGCATGTCGAAGAACCATAGTTTCTTTCATCTGTAATCTAGCTCGAAGTCCTCACACTGCCTTATACGCCCAGTTCTTATCTTCTAGTTGGACTCCAACAAAAAAATGTGGGCCTGAGGTTTTTAATTTGAAAAGGATTCATGATAGGTTGAATTAGCTTGTTCTGTTCTGATTTCTGTGATTGCTTCTGTTTTATCAGTCCCCATGTTGGTGTTTATAAACCATGAACGCGGGTCTTTTATGGTGGTTGCTTGCCAGTTGAGAGGTAGTTGAGTTACAGTGCATTTCCATCTTATCGGGTCTTTCCATTTTTCGTCCAAACGTGACAAAGGGAAAGGATATTCTTCCCTGATTCAAGATGGAGTTGGATTTTGAGTGATAGCCCTTCTGTATAGGTGATTCCGCGAACCTTGTGTGGCCTATTTCCGTTAGGGGTAATTTTCATGTAAAAGTAATTATTTCGATTTCCTTCCTTTTCATGTCGAGATTTCAGAGAATGTGTTTAATGCAAATGCCAGAAACTATTTAGGAATGCCCACGTGTCAAAAGTGTCCAATTGAGTATCTGAATGTACTGTGAAGCATCTTTTCATGGTTGGGATAACAAATGATAATATCCACCCTTATGAATGGAATAAAATACGTCTCCTTTTTGCCGTCAATAATTGCTTTAGCCATCAATTTGTGTTTGATTTAAACATTTCTTTTAATTTCTATAACTTAATTCGAAACGTGCAATCAATAAATTGCAGATGTGAAGCTGTTGCTAAGCAAAGTGAACTGGACACAACAAGATCATTTGCTGATCGAGCTCAACAGGGACTTGCTGTTGAAAAAAATCAAAATGAGGCAGTTATTTCTAATTCAGCAAGTGTCGTCCAACCTATTATCAAGAGAAAACAAACAGAAGCCGATACGTCCACATCAGCACCTGCTTTGGCTTCTCAGGGACACTTGCAATGTGACACATTTAATTCCCATACTCGTCAACGACTCGTTCCTATACAGACATCCCGTCTTGATGGAAAAAATTACCATTCTTGGAGGCATAATATGGAATTTTTCCTAAAGCAGTTGAACGTTGCATATGTGCTCACTGAGCCATGCCCAATCATATCTTCAAATTCGGAAACTAGTTTTGAAGAAAATGTTGGAGCAAAAATTGCTGCGCACAGATGGACTGACGATGACTACATTTGCCGCCACAACATTTTGAATTCTTTATCGGACAGTCTCTTTCATCAGTACTCCCAGAAAAACTCCTCGGCTAAAGAGCTTTGGGAAGATCTTAAATCAGTTTATGATGAGGATTTTGGAACAACAAGGTCTCAAATCAACAAATATATCCAATTTCAGATGGTTGATGGGGTATCAATTCTGAAGCAAGTTCAAGAACTCCAGAACATTGCAAATTCTATTATGGCTTCTGGAACCTGGATTGATGAATACTTTCATGTCAGTGTCATCATTTCCAAGCTCCCATCGTCGTGGAGAGACTACCGTTTGAGATTGATGCACGAGGAGTTTTTATCTCTTAGTATGTTAATGCATCGTTTAAAGGTTGAAGAAGAGTCTCGTGTCCTCTACAAAGACAAAAACATGGCTAAGAAGGATCACTCACTAGATTCGAAGTTTGACAATAGATTTGGACAGAAAAGAAAAGAAAACAAGAAGGTTTGCTACAGCTGTGGCAAGGAGGGGCACATTGCCAAATGGTGTCCCAATTGGAAGTTAGAAGTTCATGAGAAGAGCAATGAAAAGGAGAATGAAGTCCTCCCCGTACATGCAGAAGTTAACATGTCTGAGGGAATAGTCTAGTTATTAGTTGTACTATCTCTTCATCTTATAAACTGGTTTGGTGGCATTTGTTAAACAGGAAAAATCCAAGGATTCTTGGTGCGCGGAAATTGCATTAGTTGCTTACCCTCTGGAAGGATATTCATGTGGAGGGAAGTCCAGTGATGCATGATATATGAGGATTAGCTTGTTAGCCTCATAATGATTTCTTGTTTACAGGTTGGAAACTGTTTTCTTTTTCTTCCATTTGTACTGATGAAAAACCTTGTTCTGAGCATATGTAAAAGATGATCCGTACATTACCTATACAAACTTAGAAACAAGAATCGAATTGCTTCACCTTTCAGTAGCTAAATTTCTTCACCTTTTTCCTTGAATTAAATTTTACTCATACAAAGTGCTTGATTTGTTGCGACTTGAAAGCGTTCCAACTTTTCTCAGAGTCCAAGCGAGCAAATGTTGTGAATCTTTTGCGACTCGGAAGTTGGGTATTTTGAAGATTTTATATATACTCTTTAGTGACGATGCTTTCCTATTCCATATATGATAAGGAGTTGTTAGTTATTGTGTGCAGGGCATGGAAACGTTGGTAATACGTTGATTTAAATTCTTTAAAGTTTGAAGTTTATATAGGGTGTGTTTGAGCGAATTTAAAGTTTGAAGTTTATATAGGGTGTGTTTGAGCTAGGGACGTAAGTGGTCTGGTTTTACCCATTTTTGACATTTTCAAATCAAACTGTTTAAACCGGTTTGAGAAAAATTCAAACCTAAATCAAACCATTTTGAACAGTTTGGAAAAAACCCAAACCTAAATCTAACGGTTTGGTCCAGTTTTAAACCACCGGTTTCGTCGTATATTTTTTTGCATGTCTACTTTTATGTTATTAATTCATTGAATTCAATATATATTTATATCTTACCAACAATAAATCTAAAACAACTAAATATATGTACTATAAATTTAAATACCAACTAAATTCAATTGAAATCATAATAATAGTCTTTTGTTAACCCTTTTTATACTAAGATGTTACGACAACGTTACAATACAAGTCTAATAAAATAAATATAAGGCCCAAAATACATATAAACTAAATATTTATTTGAAAGCATATAGTTCCATAATACAGTTACTGGGACATCAATAAAGCAACACCTTAAATGATAAACTTTATACCTACTGGATCAAAATCCAAGACTTTAATAGGCTAACCGAATATATATCATCCTTATTAATTCAAGACACTTAAAGAAACAGTTTAACAAAATATCTAAACATACAATAAATCACAACAATTAAATTGATGCAAATATAATTGTCACCGGAGTCATTGTTGGTTTCTTTTAGCTTATTAAACAGCTTATCCACATATCAAATTCCACATGAACACTTTTTAGTTTCTATTGACATATTTTATCATGCATAATTTAGTCACAAAATAAGAGTATGTCCACACAAATAGAATAGAATCATGTACAAAGTAGATAATCAATTTTCATCAAAGTAAATAAATTTATTTCACAATCATCCAATAGTTGAGAGAAATGCGAAACCTATATAATTTCAGATTTCGTACCTCAATTTGCTAAAAAAAATTTATTGATCTGAAATTTTATTCGTAGCAAATATTATCACCAAAAATCCAGGATCTCTTTCTCTCCAATTTGGTGTGGTGCTGGTGGCTCAAGGTTGTGTCGGGTGTCGGCTGAAGTTCATCCGAATTCTGAAGAGGAAAATGACTTTTGATATATTAGGTTAGTCTTGAGATTATTAGATATAAATTATGATTATTGGGTAATAATAATATATATGTAATAGAAAATTATAAATTGACAAAAATATCCACACATGATAAAATTATTAAATTTTACATATTTGGATTTTTCAGAAATTTTCGTTTTTTATTTTTATATATTTTTTCACCGGTCCGGTTTTATTTTAAATCGCAATTAAAATTCTCAAACTTAAATCAAACCTTTTTTGACCGGTTTGGTTTGGTTCAAAACTATTTAATTGACGGGTCCACGTGGCACCAAACCAACGGTTTCTAAAATGCGGTTTCGGTTCGATTTTCCGAATTGGCGGTTTTTGCTTACAGCCCTAGTTTGACCCATATTATTTTGGAATAGTAGATTGATGAAGAATGTGTAATTAAAAAAAAAAAGGAAAAGTTATTGAAGTGATGCAAAATATTATTTTATTGAAAAATGTGTTATTGAAATTGAGTACAAGAATGAGAATGAAAATTTTAATATGACTCAAACAAGGGCATAATATATTTTTATTTTTATTTGACGTTGCACGTCATTTTGTACACTTAGCTCAAGGATTGTCCTAAACTATTACTTGAGCCTTAGAAATTTAAAACTTTTATAATTAAAAGATACAATTTTGCTACATGTAAATCAAGTTTGACGTTGTGAGGTGACAATTTTTTATACATTGATTCTATTAACATTTTAAACAATCAATGGTACAGATTTTGACAAATCTTGAAATGTCGAACTTATTGTACATACAAAGTGTACAAGTAATTTAATTCCAAAAGGTATGATGAGTTATAACTTATATAACTTGTCAATATCATGTCATGGAAGATCCGAAGAGAATTGGAGTTAAATAGTTGCAATAGGTGATCGGTTTTTGAAGTGTAGTTATTTAAATGACATGGAGTCAAAGTTAATATCTATAATTAAGTAATGGACTTTATTGAAAATTATTGAAAACTCTATGGACTTTTATTATTCGTATAATTACTGATCAGTTGAATTTTGGGTTTTATTGAAATAGAATATCATCAAATTGGACTTCGCTTTGTAGTATTGAAAGTCTATTGTTGACAACCGATAATTTTCCCTGTACGTGAAAAATTAATAGATAATGTGGTTCACCTGGTTGACGTCTTATCTTTCAACTCAAATCAATACAAATTTTAATGAGAAAACAAACAATAAAAAGTGACGGCCAAGAAAAAAAAAAGAGCTCTAAAGGTCAAAAACTGTGTTTTTGTTTATTGTTTAAATTGCACGATTTCAACATTTTGTCCACTCCACACTTTTAGAGTAACATGGGACATGTAATAAACCTCTATATATGTTTAGGTAAGTTAGATTAGAGGGTATTAAAACCTTCTAAATAAAAAAAATATGAAGAGTTAAAATATAATATATTATAATGTTCAGTACGATCTAATATTTTGTACCATTTATATTGCTAACTAAAAAGTTTTGAATTAGGATTTACGCCCCGCCCCCCACACGATGATTTAGTCTAAATCTAGTGAACATATATGGAAGATTTCATCTTGAATATGGTTTGCAAGTTTAGACTAAAATGAAATTTAGACTTAAAATGTATAATATTGATACAATCATAAAGTTGGAAAAATTAAAAACCAATATTATCATACTCATAACTACTTGATTATACATAAAGAAAAATGATCTGACAAGTATCGATGTTTAACTTATGCTATGTGTGACACGGTGATAATATAAATTTTATCTAAATCAAGAATAACTATATATTAATTTCTATTTCTTTTTGTGTCACTCCATCTATTGAAAGAGCCTACTAAATCAAATATTTACTTCATAAAGCAAGATTAGTCTTGTTCTTCAAACCCGTTTTATTAGAGTCACGTCCCTCTTCCAAAAGAAGACATTTTTTACGAACTCTTTTTTGGGGAAATACTAGTTGAAATTGCCAAATAATATTACTTTGGTCATTCATAGATTGTTGTACCACGTTTTCAAAAAGTTTTAGTTGCTGATTAATAAAATAAATTATTTATTATAAAATTCAAATGTATGTTGCGCTTTATAATCATTCGGGTGCTTGCTTGATAAATCACAATGCAATAATATTTATATTTTGATCGAGATATGTTTGAGTTCACAACAAGTGACTGCTGTTGGCACCTTATTTTGTGGAGAGCGTAGTGTCATCTATTTCAATGTTGGGGTAAGCGATTATTCTTGGTCGTAGAATAATAGTTTTTGATTAGTGAACATAGGTGCTATCGTAGTGCACGAAACACGAACATGTTTTAGAACTTAATTTTATGATATGACGGACTTGAGGAGAATTAAACTCAACATAATCGCCATTTGAATTAACTAAATCACAAAAGGAATACTTGACGCTATTTGTAAGTTAAAAGTGTTAGGGTCCGTTTGATTGCAAGGGTGGAAAATGAGTGGAAAGAAAATGTTTTACAGGGAATTGATTTTCTTAGAAAATGTTTTACTGGGAATTGTAATTAATTGTGTTTGATTTGTATAATTTTCCAT